GACCATGTGGTGTTCCTTGCACTTACAAAATACCATTGACTGTAGGTTTAGACAAGTCATCCCTGATAGAGTACTCAGAGTTGAATTGGAAGTAGCATATTCATATCTAAGAGGTGGTAACTTAGACTAAAGAGACTGCCTTTCATAAGCTCATGCATAGTTCTCCATCTTTTTTGACCTGGAGTCCTCTAAATATTCCCCGTGGCAGCATGCCCATCTGAACAGGGAGTCTAAGCCCACAGATACCCAGCTTGCTTCTCTGTGTCCCTGCCACATGCCCTCAGCAGCCCAGAAACCACAGGATGTCATAATAGGATTAGGTAATTTACAGTCTCTTTCTGATAGATTTCCTTGGTTGATGAGCTGAAGACCTGGTGCTTGTTGAAGATTCAGAATCTGGAGCTCAAGCTTTCTGGAGATTCCAGGTCATCAAGACCAAAATCAACTTTGTCCACTTGTGAGTCTCTCACTGAGACCCTGGATACTGACAACAACCCCAACAGTGCCAAGGACTGTAAAGCCAACCAGCCTGTGCTGCAGTCGGAGGGCTCCCACCAGCATTCCTACATCACACTTCCAAACAGCCTCTTGGAAGATGGGGGAAGGAGCAGAGTCCAGATGCCAGAACAAAGCTTTGGGCAACACTTTTGCATTAAACAAGATGGAGCATTGGGTACAACCACGTCAGGTACTTAGCTGTCATATCCCTTCAAGGGCGAGCTCAGTAACTGAGGGGCACTTGTATTATTTACAATAACTCTGGTGGTGTGCTTTCCCCCCTCCATATGCCTGATGGCTTGGGATTTGAATACCCTTCAAGGCAGCCACTGGGAATATTTTAAGAGGTGACTGGGTGGAATTCCACTGATTGTTCCTGATGCTTCTACTTTTGCTTCTTTGAAGCAAAAGTCCTTTGGTGCTTTGAATAACTCTTGGCCCTGCAAGCTTTTGAAGAAAAAAAAAAAAAAAGAAATATGCAGAACAGCCAGGTGTCCACAGCAAAGCATAATGCTACCTGAGCCCTGGCTTCTGTAAGATACAATCTGTATGTCCCCTAAACACTAAGCAAAGTGAACAGGCATGGATGCCCCATCAAATAGAAAGGCATATAAGAGATCTTGTGGTGCTTGAGTGTGAGCTGTTCTGCATTGAAACAGTTCAAAAGCACAGAAATGTGTGATCTTTCCAAAATTACTGGGACTGCAAACTTTGTAGAAACAGGGAGATCATAAATATCAGCAGACACAACCTACTTTGGAAATCTAGCCTGATAGTTGTTAAATGTCCTTCTGATGAAGTCACAGAAGGGTTTGGATTGGAAGGGGCCCTAAAGATCATCTAGTTCTAACCCCCCTGCCATGGGTAGGGACACTTTCCACTGTACCAGGTTGCTCAGAGCCACATCCAGCCTGGCCTTGCACACTTCTGAGGATGGGCAACCACAACTTCTCTGGGTAATCTGTGCCAGTGCCTCACAGTGAAGAATTTTTGGCTAGTATTTATGTCCTCTGCCTGTTGTCCATCCTTTAATGACTTTCTATTACATCACCTGACTGTGAAGATGTGATAAACTAATATAAGCCTGTACTAGGTACACACAAAACCCCATCATTCATCAAACAACGAGGTCTTCTGAGTGCTAAAATAAATGCCCAGAGCTTTCTTAATATATTGTCTATAATTTGTTCTATAGGTACAGAGCAACAGGTGGCTGGTGGACCAGTTTCTTCTTCTGCCCCTGCTCAAGATGTCAGGCCAAAGGACAAAGCTGTGAGTGCCAGCACGTTCCACAAGTTCCAGCAGGAGCTGCCCTCCTCCGAGCTTTCGGGCTCCAAATTAAGACACGTTAAAGTTCAAGCTGCCTTGCAGTCAGTGACTGAACCTGCAAAGGCTGAACCACAGAGCGGATGCTTCCTTGACAAAGGAACTCAGACGAAGAAGTCCAGCAAAAGCGGGCAGTCGAGGCACAAAGCTGTGCACCACGGCGGGGCACAGCAGGGCCAGGAGCAGCAGCCCTCGGGCCCGCCTGCCCCTCCGCTCAGAGACACCTCCCAGGCCCTGGAGATAACCCAGTACTTCTTCGAGGCCGTCTCCACGCAGATGGAGAAGTGGTACGAGCGGAAGATAGAAGAGGCCCGGTGCCAAGCCAACCAGAGAGCGCAGCAGGACAAAGCTGCGCTCAAGGAGCACATCAAATGCTTAGAAGAGGAGCTGAGCAAATTAAGGACTAAGGTGCAGAAAGAGAGCTAGCACCTGCCAGGCAGCTAATCAAACAACGGGACTCATTTTGGAACCTGCTGTATGGGAATTGGGCATATTGATAGATATTTGTAGTGCCTGTTAACATCCAAACACAACACTCTATTTCAGGAGTAGAAATAACTTTGGAAACTCCAGAACTGAGGAGAGTTCATATGCAAACTATATTGATAACAAAGAGATGCTGCAGATTAGATCCTTTCTTTGTTATTTTCAAGAGTCTGTCAATATTGCACTCTCAGTTTCCAGATGCTGCTTGAAACCAAACTGCATTAGTAACCAAAACTGCTTTCTGAAAAAGGAATTCCCTTACTTCCACACAGGACACAGACTAGAGGGTTCTACTGTATGCTGCATGTAAACACATTGTGTTACCAGTACTGAAATAAATCCAAGATGTGTGAAAGTTTTTGACAGAATTACTTAGTGATGAAGGGCTATTGATCCTATTTTAGATACTCCCAGGGCCTCTCTCTAGTCAGGAGAGAAGCCAAAGAACCCACTCCAGGTACAAGCCCAGGTAGCTGACAGATGCAGGCTTCCAGCTGGGAGAGGGCAGGCAACCGTGGAGGGAGATGCTAGGGCAAATCATCCCAATAGGTACAGAAGCTTCAGCAGAAGCTTCACTTTGCTTTTCTCTTGGTTTTCCATTATTAAAACAAGCACTAAATCTGATTTGTCTTTTTTTTTATGGTGTCCTGCTTGCAGAGCTCCTCGTGATTACACTATTGTTGAGGCTCTGCTCCAGTAATCTGACTAAGAATTTTGTTTAGGGCATGGATGACAAGTATTTTACTGTAACCATGGTCTGCTTTTTAGGTTGAATGTTTTATATAAATCTTTTTTCCTTCAAGCAGGAAATGGCTAAATTGTCTACTATTGAAGAAGCTTGAAAAAGTCCTTTATCTAAGGAAGTGAAAGCTTGGCTTCCTGAATTCAAATTTTATTTTTCTGCAGTCAGGATTTTTTCTCAGGCACCTTGCCCAGGACTGTCTACCTTTTTTCCTCTGAATGATTCCTCCTGGTTTTTTCCCTTCTGTCTCTAAAAAGGAGACCAGGCCCTGATGAGTCTACAGGTTTTAGGACAAACAGTCCCACAAAACAGCACTCAACATTTAAAGTTTTATAATTGCGTTTTGTTATCAAATCAGAACTTTCATTGACCAATGTTGTCCATGCTGACAGACTCCAGATAACTTCAAGGCACTGTAACTACTGCATCTGCATCCCTTTAGGGTTTCCTCCTTACACATCTGAGAAGGCTCCATCAGATCCTGCTAGAAATAGAAGTTTATTTACCAGATCATGATAGAACAACTGTTCAAAAACAGTCCCAACACAGGATGGTACTGTTATTCCAAGGAGAAAAATATTTTCTGTACTAAGGAGCTCCAAAATCAATACAAAATACTTTACAGTGTTGAAGAATGCCATTCACTAATTAGTAATTAAGCTTTTGTCTTCTTAGCAGATGTATAAAGCAAAAAAGTCCTATTATATAACAATATTTTTAAAGTTCCTATTAATGCACTATCATGACAGGAGAAGTGTATCTGCAGCTATGGAAATACTAGTTTTCTTGCTCTGACTTCTGTAGTCTAACATAGACACTTTGGTATGTTTACAGTTTTGTTTGAGCTACAGTAGGAATGCAGAAGCATGCTATTGAAGTTTTGTATCCCCTGGATGAAGTTCATGTCTTGCCAAGCAATTAAAGTAAGTGTTGCTCAGAAATGTGTGGTGTAACATTTTCTAGCCACAGAAAACTGACACAGTCCTCACTTGACTCTGAAGGGGGAACAGAAGATTGGACTTCAACTTGTAAGCTTTTTGTTTGTGGTTATAAAACACAGAAGTGGAATCTGCCATCTGTGCAGGAGGCTGCAGTGGCTGGTGCAGGTGCCCCGTTCAGAAGTTACAGGGCTGAGTTGTGCACAGATCCCACACACACTCCTGAGCTTGCTCAAGGGAGAGGCTGTGCCTTTAACTCCCCATACAGACCACACTGGACCACACTCCTAGGTCCAAGTAATTTAAGTAAACCCAAGTAATTACCAAGTAATCTAAGGCAGTAACCAGGCTGCAGGTTACTGATTTTAGAGGTTCTCTGAGGCCAGTGAGTGTATGGTAAAATAAAGAGAAGCATTTTCTGCTAATTCCTTTCTATACCCCTCCCTTCTTCAAAACTGTGAAAGACTTTATAAAATAGGTGTGACCTACCTACCTGTCTCTTCAGGTAAATTTACTTACCCTCACAGGCTGTACTTGGACTCTTAAAGGCTTCTGGCTGGCAGTTTTATACCTGGCAAGCCCACAGAGCAGTGGAGATAAAGGCAGCGGCACTCAAGGCATCAACATCTGTCCAGGGCCCTGTCAGTCCTAGCTCTGGATTACGTGCCCACAACCTGGAAATGTACAAACTGGGAGTACAGGAGGTAATGCATGCTCTGGGCTCTGAAAGGAAAGCACCATGGTGAGGCAGCAGGGCTCAGCCTCCTGATTAAGGAACAGAAATCCAAGCACTGGCTGAAGGGGAATGGAAGGCTACTGTGATAACTGCCAACATTGGTTATGGTTGTTTAGTCAAAATACCTTTGTGAGCAGCACTTTCTCTTAACGTGAAAAATACATCCCCAATACAAAAATGTTCTGTCAGTCTGTTCTACCAGAAAATGTTAATAAACTGTAAATTTTAAATGAAGAGTTTTTAGATATGTATTTTTTCACTGACTGACTAAAGCTCAGAGGCTTCAGTCTATACAGATCTGAACCACAGCTCCTGCTCTCACCTGGGGTCATTCCTCCTGTAGCCTGGAATTCTGTCCTGTCCCTTCCCTGGTGCCAGTGGTGATCCCTATTTACCAGATTTGCTGCCAGTTTGTGCAGCTCAGGAATTCTGCAGAAAACCACCTTTGAAACAGGGGTTCTCCTCAAGGGATCTACAATAGCAGAGTGGAAGAGGGAAGAGATCCTGCATGTCTTGGAATCACAACCTAAAATGGTAAGGTATCAATCTGCTGCTGCCTGTCTAGTCATGTGGAGAAAATCCCCAGCTCATCCAGGCATTTTTAAATTACATGGAAAAAAAAGATACACCACAGCTCAAAGGAAAGTGAGAACAGTTGCAAGCTAACGATTAGAAGTAAAGTAGTATAACATTTGAATACACAAATCATAACTTTTGCAGTTAGTATTTTTTACCTGTGATTTTTCTTTATATATTGACTTTTACATACTAGTTTGAAGGTATCTGGTAATAAACATTTCTGGGGCTAAAATCTCCCATTTTCATAAATAAAGACCTCTCCTTTTAAGTTTTATTCAGCTACTACTGAAAATCAACATCTACACACAAAACATTTTTTAATGTTTGTTTGTTCTGGGCCAATATATCCCAAATTCTTTTTTTAATCACAAATTTTGGTGAAAATACTTGGTATAGTACATGAACAGCTGTCACTGAGAATATTACCAATTACAGCTACCACAGTAAAAAGCAGACAAAATAATCTGGCATATATTTATTTTCCATTGTAGTGGCATTAACACAGCTGTTTTAACTGTAGTTTTTGGTGTTTTCTGCTTTCCCTGCAGCACATGGTACATCATCCATGCAGTTCTTTAATGTCCTTTGTGCTCAAGTCATTTCCACTTCTGAGGGTAGCAAAACTGAGAAATGGACTGGGGAAGGGGGAAAACCAAAACCCTCACTGTGGTAGATTTCCCCTTCAAACATCACCAGGTTGCCAGCAAAGGCCACCATTGTAACCACATTCTGGAAAAAAACACTGTGCCTATTTGCAATAACTAAAAATTAAACTGTCAACAAAATGAAGATCAGGATTTTGCCAGCTTAAGTGTTCTCTGAAGTTCCTGAAGTTGCATGTTGCCTTGAGTAATCATCATCCTGATGGCATCCTGTAACAGAGAATGGAATCTAGTGAACTGTATGTCTGTACACAGCATGGGTTTTACACAAGCACAAAGACTTTTAATGCATTAAAATACATTCAATAACATACAACTCTTACTGGCACTACTGTCATTTACTTGTGTGACATAACACAGATGGTTCAAAACCAGGTAAATAAATGGATTCATTTTCTCCAGTTCCTTAATGTACTTGGTAGTAGCTTTGCTTTCAAACTCAGTTTAAAAGAGGATTCAAACCCCTAATAATGGTTTCTTTATGCCTGTGTGTGTATTGCCTTTGCAAGCCAGTAGTGAGACCAGCACACAAGCATTATGGAGAGGGTTTTACACAGCAGGTACTGGTTTCTCTCAACACTAACTAAGGGTCTAAGGCTTTGTCTGCATCGTTCAGCCACCAACTCCTTGGGCACTGGCTAGACCAGGGACTGAACGAGGAAGCAAAGGACAGGATATGTACAAGAAATGTGAAGGTTTCTGCATTTCAAACTTGCTTCATTATCCTTAACCATCCCATCTGATTGTATTCTGCTTAAATATAGGTTAAATTTAAGCTAAAAAAAAAAAGCTATAAAAAGCTTAACTGTTACTAAGTTTGTGTTAGTTACCATATAGATACAGGTTTTCCTGATCTGTGATTTGAGTAAGTACAGTATTTGTTGATTAGGTTTTTAATTTCAGATTATTCTCTAAAAATTTGAGAAACTGTACTACTGCTAAGAGAGGGGGATAATATTTAGAGATACTGGGTTATTTCTTCACATAAATGAGGGAATAGTAACAGGGGACTTTTCACCAGTCCGGAAGCGACACTACAAAACAAACCCCAAGACACACGACAGGAGAGTGTAGTGACCATGCCCGAGGCCAGGCGATCAGAGTGGCGGGTTCCCAATTCTCACCTCTTCTGTAGCATACTTATTTCTCTTGAATTCCTCCCTGGCCCAGTCCCTTAAGTAGCGGCGATCCTGCTCAGCAGGGACCTCCCGGATAGCCCGCAGGATCTTGCGGTACAACTGAAGGACCTGCTGCCGCCTCAGGAACTGCCAAGGAGAGAGGGAAGTCTGCCCGCCGCCCCAGGGGACTGCTGCACGCTGCGCCCTCGGCGCTTTGCTTTAATGGGTATGTAAACAACCACCGAGTTCCCCATCGTCTGTACAGGACGCAGCTTGCCCGAGCCCCCGTGCCCCGTACCTGCTTGAGGGTGAGCGCGGCCGGCGGGAGCCGCCCGGCGGCCATGACGCGGCTCCGCCCCTGCCCCGCCACGGGGCCGCGGAGCCCGCCCCGCGCGGGCGGGGCCGAGGCCGCCATTTCCGGCGTCACCGCAGCGCTCACGGCCGGGCCGGGTTGTTTCAGCTTGGACCAATTCAAGGCGCAGACGTCGTAATTACAAAGAGTGGTACCTCTCTTTATTAGTATAGACGATACAAGATGCATAGCCTTTGCAATGAAAAATCACGTCCGTGATTTATGAAACATCCCCAACGCCTGCCTCGGACGGGGCAAACTTCACAGTGTAAAGTGGTAAGGCAGGGATCAGCGTATGGCGTGATTCAGAAAACTCCCTGCTGCTATCATCAGGCAAAAATCGGCAATAATTAAAAAGGATGTGTTAAAACCGCAGAATAGTTTCAAGTATTCGAGTACTTTTTTTTTTTTGGTTGATTAAAAACATGTGCCTCTCCTGCTCCCCCACTCCTTCCTTCCCACAAGCACCTCCACATGGGTGATGCTGGAAAGGCTTTATTTGTGAGACACCCCAACTTCCAACGCAGAAATGCCTTCTAGGAACAAGACTGGTTTTACTTACGGCAGGGAGGGAGTGGCAGGAATAATATTACCTCTATTAATATTACAAATGTTTGTTTTTTTTTTTTTTAAGGTAATAAGTTATTACAAGAGAATTTGAGACAAGATTTACATTTCTTGTGGGAATAGCAGGGGACAGTCTCACCATTGCATAATTATCCTCTGACACCTTGGGAGGATGCCCCCAAACCATTCTGTTCTTACACAGTCTCTGCTCCAGGGCAGCTCCTGCAGGATAATCCCAGTCAGGAAGAGCTTTATGAGCCCTCCCATGAAATGCAGTTTCTTGTATTTCAGCAGTTCAGCAGCAGCAATCAGGTCTGACCTTGTCTACAAAGCCTAAAGAGTGTCGGAGGCAGTCACCAGCTCAAACCACTGCCTGAGGGCATCGCTCAGAGTCTCTGGGAGCGCGTTCACGTCTCTAAGGATCATGTAGAACGGGAATGGGAATTCTTCCATGTAAGACCTGATTTCAGGCAATTCTCCAGGTCCTTTGAATATAGGTACTTTAATGTCCAAAATTGAATCCTGTAAAAAAAAGTGCTGATGTTACTACTAAATGACACATATTCTATGATCACTGATAGAAAATAGGGTAAATTCTAAGTACTTATAATTCTCCTCCTTAGATTAAAAGTTGATAAAATACTTTTAAGATTAAAAGCTCTAAGTGTTCAGTGGTAAATCGGGTCAAAGCTGAACATAAATCAGTTAAATTCTTTTGCCCTTTTAGATAAAAGTGTACTAGTAATCCTTGAATTACAGGCTAGAAGCGACTAAGCTTAAGCTTCTGCAATACCAAATTCTGTAAATAAATTCTGTCTTTTCTTAGCATATTACGATTTGAGTTTACTGTTGGCACTTTAGTTTCATTAATTTGATGCCTTCCCAAGGGAGTCTGTAAGCTCTTTAGTGCTGAGTTCAACTCATATTTGTGCAGTGCTCTATCAGAAGATTCTTTAGCAACTTGAAAGTATTTCAGAAAATACTACAAAGACAAAAATCAGATTAAACTCCAGCTGTGTTTCTTGTAACTTCTTAGTTGCCCAGTGTAGCAGCTCAGAAATTAATAAAGGTTATGGAAAACACCTTTTTTTCCCACAGAAAAAAAAAAGCTTATGAAAGACACCTAGAATTTTTGCTTGATACTACAGCCAGGTTTCATCAGAACCTTTCAGCTGTTTGTCAGCAAGAGAACTGTTAGTTTTTCAACACTAAATATAGCAGGTGAGTTTTGTATGCAAAAATAAAGATACAGGAAGAAAACACAAAAAACAAAATTAAGAGTCTTTACCACATAATTCTCTATCAGGCTTGTTTGCTCACTTACTGCCTCACAGAGCCTTCCTGAAACACTCCCAGATATTTCAGCTTCCCATCCAAGAATATCTAAAGTTTTCTTCCCCCATTACCAGATGCAGGACTCAGCTTTTCCAACTGAGGCACTAAATAACTCTCACACACTCCCTTCTGTCTAATGTTTAATCTCATACTGGCTCCAGCTGTCATGTCAATTGGGGACTGCTGTCAGAAATTATCAAGCTGAATCAGAGCTGAGATGGAACAAAGCATCTCTCAAACTCCAAATCTGTCAAGCTGCCAGCTGCTTCCCTGGTGGCCAAGAGCTACAAGCATTCTGTTTGAAGACGGGAGCTCTTGGCCTTTCTGTGGCATGGAAGCAGAGAGGGCTTTTTTTAAAATACAAAAGATAAAAAGCACAGTAGGAAGAAATGGTAGATCTGACAGACGTGGAAAACCGCACTTGGGCTCAGTATCTCTGACCTCTACAGAAGATAAGGTAACTGTATGGCACTATAAAAGACAGGAAAAGGATTTGTATCAGTTTCTCATTCACTGCAGTTGAATACTTCTCCCTTGTTCACTTACCCGGGAATTAGGGTTGTCCAACACTACAAAAATAACAAAGATATTGGCACTCCGAGCTGCTTGAACTGCTGCTGTCACCCGCTCCTTGCCTTCCAAGAAAAGGCCTCTTCCATCAGACACAATCAAAAGCAGCTGCGCTGTTTCTGAGCACAAAGAACATTTCAAACTCCACTAAGTTCAGAGTAAAACATTTAAAAGGCAAAACCCCCTATTTTGCTGTTTGGCCTGTGGGTATAATGGAAAAAGGAGTATTCCTAAGGATATTAACTCCTCAAATAGAATTCTGTCAAGTCAGTCCAATTAGTCTGAAGTAATCCTCCTGAAACATCAAGCATCACACTCATGCTGATTCCCATTTCTGAAGACATGTTACTTGACCCAAGTTGTCCCTAGAGTCAGATATATCCCTCTAGAGGTACATTTTAAGTTATGTATTTAATTACACATAAAATCACAGTAATTATAGTCAGGAATGCAAGCCCTAATTGTTACAGGGGGATGCAGAACACACTTCTGCAGACAGGCCCCAGATGTGACAGGGCTTTGTCTTTTCACAGAAGGAGGTGATGGATCCAGCAGCCTTTTCTCTTGCCAGCTCCCTAATCCTAAGGAGCTGATTGCTGCTGCATCCCCACCTAGTTTACACAGAACTGGATGCTGCTCCCCCTCAAAATATTGTGACACCCTGGCCACCCTGTGGCAAAGCAGCTGTGGATTATAAATCCCAGACTGTCCAGTTCTTGGAGTACTTCAACAACAAGAACTTATAAAAAATACAGGTGCCACCATGACAAGCATTTAACTATCACAGAGCAATCTTTTAGACTAACTGTGGGCCAGACATGAGGCAAGCAGTCTTCCAGCTTTTCTTGGAAAGAAAAGCAGCTCATGACCTAAAGTTGCAGGACAGTGAAAGGCAGGTAGGAGGCAAATTCCCTCCTCAGAGCAGTGTGCTTCTGGATACCCAGAGAACTCAAGCTCTCAAGCAGGAGCAGAAGTGTCTAGAGAGTCAGGGTCCTTAGGAAGCTGGGCAATGCTCCCAGCTGGCACTGTCTACACCTTAACACAGTCTGCAATCAGGAGGTAAAGGGAGACAGGCAAGGTGTGCCTTTTTAAAAAAGTCTTACATAAAATTTTAGTGAATTATTGACAAATATGAAGTAGGTATCACCTGGGTTTTGAGCTGAATTTCAACCAAACATTGCTTTTGATAAAGCAAAACCCAAAGCCCCAATGCAAGTGATGTTTCAGTCCTAGGAGTCTTCCTGGCAGGATCCTACATCGGGGCTGTAGTGAGCATTCCGCTGCCATGGCAACAAGCACAGTAACATAAGAAAACTCACCCGGATTAATATTTTGAGACAACTGCTGTGCTGCAGCAAACATGTTTGCTGATGATTCTAGAAACTGCAGAGGAAATAGGTAAGAAAATCAAATTATCTCATCTTAAAAATGAAAACATTTCTAAAGAACAGCTTTCTCTCTTAAATGCTAAGCCAGTCTGAACACGTAACACAGATACAGGTTTTAGCATTCTCCTGTATTAACTCCAGCTTTAAATTTATTAAGTACTTTTGAACTAAAGAATCTTCAGAGAGCCTTCAAACAATTTATTTTTCCCCAATACTAGACTAGCAAAGCCATCAACACAGTACACTGCTAATGAGATTAATGGCTTCATTGAAAATATACATCCTGTTTCTAGGTTCAACTTCTTTGGCTTCAGCTTGAAAGGAAGTATCTAGTCTAATACTCCCCATTAAGATTAAGAACATCAACAGTACCCAAAATACATTTTAAGACTCAATACAGAGGAAGGTGAATGCTTAAAAGTGGTATACATCAGAACTAAAAGTGAAAAAACACTCTTCCTGTTACAAAATTGTGACCATTTTATTTCTTTGTTATCTCACCTAATATCAGACTCTCAAATACAAAAAAACTAGTAAGTGTTACAAAGTGATCATGAAGTGCTGCTATCTTGTCTGGAAAAGATTGGTAAACCTGTTGCCCTAGAGGCATTTTTGTGTACCTGGGCTATTTTTGTTTTCTTCTGCTGAAACTTGCAAAGACGCAGTATCCGTGTCCCTGACTGGTCACTGAACTGCTCGTGGAACGGGTGCAGCAGCTGAACTGTCTCTCCAAAGCTTAAGAAAACAGGACACAATTAGAGCATGAAACCGGTGTTTACATTCTGCTCTGAAGTACTGAAGAAAAGTCAAGATTTCAAACAAACTTACCTACACACAGCAATTTGTCCCACTTCTAGAAGAGTCAGAGCATTTCCAATAACTGCCAGGGATTCATATGCAAGCTATTAAAGAAAAAAGTTGCATCAAAAATAGCATAGTCAATGTTTTACTCAAAGCCCAGTATTAAATATGAAGAATGTTACTGAAATTATTTTTTATCATCTAGAAAGATAATTGAAGAGACTGCCTATCCTTTTGCCTATGTTATGTAAGACAGTCAGTGCAATAAACATACACTAGTTCTGCTTGAGGGCTTCAGCTGATTGATTTAGAGACACCACTTTACATAGGCTAATGAAATAAAAAAGTA